TTGCATATGCTGCATCAATTAACTGCCTCAAAAATCATCATACATTTTGAGCACTTTTAATATCCTACAAGGGTTGAAATTGTCATACAAATACAATAATTATTGTACACCTACCTGGTAATGCTGAGGGAAGCTGGAAAAAAGTTCTGGACTCTAGTCTACATTCAGAAAAGATTATGAACATACTTTCCTGGATTTAAAATTCTTTTGGATATGACCTTATAAACTGTGACTGTAATATTCACTGGACATTCATCCTTTTAAACGCATGCTTTTAGAGCATGTCTCATTTTTTTTCTAGCTAGTCCAAGGTAAAAATAATTGCAGACTTAAAAGGCTGCCTGTTTCAGTACTCAAAGATACTGAACAGGATTTTTGTCCTGTACATTCTAGGCCATTAATGATTGATCCACAGAGTCAAGCAAATAAATGGATAAAGAACTTTGAGAGAGAAAACCAGCTGAGTGTTGTTAAGCTCACAGATACAGACTACATGAGAACTTTGGAGAACTGCATTCAGTTTGGAACTCCTCTTCTGCTAGAAAATGTTGGAGAAGAACTAGATCCATCACTCGAACCCCTGCTGCTTAGACAAACTTTTAAACAAGGTACAAGAACTTTAGTTATGAGTCCCAATGTATGCATCTGTAATGCTCCTCTGTTGACGTATTGTAACAGCGAATATATATTTTTTTACTTTCTTTACTATTGCTGCCTGTGAACAGAGGAAGGTAATTTGATAATAGCCTTTTAAATTTTTATTTTTACCTTTTTATTTTTAAATCTCATTAATATCACTTTATAGATTTTTTTTTTTCTTGCAATTTGCATCATACAGAAGTAGTAGATTTAAATACAGGATATTTACCATATAGGTAAGACTCCCATTGATACTGATTATCTTCTTTTCCCCAAAGTATAGAAGACTGGAAAACATCTTTAAAGCATGTTTTAACTTAATAATCACTAATATTTATTGCACTTAATTTTTGCCAAGCTTGGAAAAATTGCGGCTTTTTCAAAGGATGCAGTTTTTTATGTAAATGTTGTCGTCATAAAGTCAGAAGATGGCAATTATGAAGAATAGGCCCAGATTTGAGGCTGAATGTCACTTGCCTTTTCCCTCTGGAGAGGTTGGGAAAACGTGTAAATAAGGCAAAGAAACTGGGCAGTAATTCATTCTTGATCCCCCTCTCATCGTTCTACTTCCTTTCCTATTTGTTTTTTCCCTCTAGCATTTCCAGTTAAAAAATAAAAAAAGTGAAAAGTCAATAAGATAGTGGAGATAGGGCAGAACATCTTTTTAAAGAGAACATCCGGGTCAAAGAGAACATGTTTTAAAAAAGAAATGTTTTCATATTTAAATAACAATATCTGTTTTATATTGAAACATGTCATGAAGTATAAATTTTCAGCCATCTTTCCCAGGGTGCACCTGGAAAATCCCAAATACACTGTAGAGTTTTACAACCGCATAAAACACTCACGATTTTGAACAGTATACATGGGCGGATAAAAACCTGATGGCATTCAATACCGAAAAATGCAAGGTACTCCACCTCGGAGGTTGGGGGTGGGAAACCCACATCATGCATATAGGCTCAGCAGTGCTACGCTTGCTAGCACCACAGCCGAAAGGGACTTGGGGGTCATGATTAACCACAAGAAGAACATGAGCCACCAATGCGATGTCACAGCCGGTAAAGCAGGCAAAACTCTGGCTCGCATCCATAGATGCTTCTCAGGCAAATCTCAGGATGTCATCCTCCTGCTGTACTCGGCCTTGGTGAGGCCACAGCTGGAGTACTGCATCCAATTCTGGGCTCCGCAATTTAAAAAGGATGTGGAAAAGCTTGAGAGAGTCCAGAGGAGAGCCACGTGCATGATCAGAGGGCAAGAGAACAGGCCTTAGGTTGAGAGCCTGAGAACCATGGGACTCTTCAGCCTGGAAAAACATAGGCTCAGGGGTGACTTAGTGGCTGTCTATAAGCATATGGGGAGTGTGAATCAGGATTTGGGGGAATGCCTGTTCACCAGAGTGCCCCAAGGGATGACAAGGTCAAACAGTCACAAACTCCTCCAAGATTGTTTTAGGCTGGACATAAGGAAAAACTTCTTTACTGTCCAAGCCCCCAAGGCCTGGAACAGACTCCCTCCAGAGGTGGTGCAAGCACCTACTCTGGACTCTTAAGAAACATTTGGACACTTATCTTGCTGGGATCCTTTGACTGTAGCTGACTTCTTGCCCCTGGGGCAGGGGCTGGACTCAATGGTCTTCCAAGGTCCCTTCCAGTCCTAATGTCTATGAAATCTCCTAGGGTGCACCTGGAAAATCTCAAATACACTGTAGAGTTTTACAACTGCATAAAGCACTTATGATTTTGAACTGTATACACAAAACGGGCAGCAGTAGACTCCATACAGTCTGCTGCCATGACAGGTAGCTGCGACCTTGTTTCTTTAGTAAGATACCTGGTGTTGGAGATAAAGATGCAGAAACTTCCTCTGGAGAAGAGAACTATCAGAAATTTTCTTTAGGGAGGCTGTAGTCCAGTGCAGGCCATACTTTTGGTAGGTGTGCCACAAATTGCTAGGGCTGTGTGAGGCTTCAGACAGAGCTTTGGATCCAGAGAAGCTTCGGAGGCTTCAGGGTCCGAAGCAGCACATCTGGGTCAAAGCACTGCCTCATTCAGCTTCCCAAACTGGTTCGGAGCTTCTGAAGAGCTTTGGAGCTGCCTCAGAGATCCAGCCATAGGTTATAATGGGGAAACAATAAAATATCTGTAACTTTGTTGTTTTTTGTCCGATTTGATGACATTTTCAGGGGTGGTAGACTCTGCATAGAGGATGAAGCCTGCCAAGTTTCAAGAAGATTGGTGCAGGGGTCTGGGGGTAACAGCACCCCAAATTCTTGAAAGCAAAACTGTCATGTCTACATGTTACAACACAGGGGGGTGAAAACTGCTGGGGTGGTAGCTCTTACTGAGGCCTCAAAGCTTGCCAAGTTTCAAGAAGATCGGTGCAGGGGTTTGGGGGGAACTGCACCTCAAGCTGTGGACGAGCAAAACTGGTGCCATGGGTGCTTGTGGGACTTTCTGTGTCTGTCCTGGGGCGGGGAGGGGAGACACTGCTGCGGGCCTGGCTGCTAAGCTGCTGTGTTACCAGTTACCAATCAATCCATCATGATTCACTCAGGAACCAGGGACTCAGGGACAGAGACCAGCTCAATACACAGGACCTAGCTACTATATAACGACTTAACGAGCATCAAGTAGCACCTACAAAACCAGGCTAAGGAGAGGAAAGAATCAATACAGACAATCAACTGCCCCAAGACAGACACAGTCTTGGCACGAGTTTTGCCTGTCAGCAGCTAGGGGTGCGAGGCCCAGAACCCCCTGCACCAATCTCTTCCACAGCTGGCAGGTGTCGTGGCTGGAGCAGGGCCACTGTCTCTGCAGCTGTCACCCTGCTGCGCCTTAACACACGCAGTCACCCATGGCACAAGTTTTGCTTGTCTGCAGCTTGAGGGGCAGTTCCCCCCAAACCCCTGCACATATCTCCTTGAAACTTGGCAGGCTTTGTGGCTTCAGTAAGAGCTACCACCCCTGAAGGTTTCACCCCCCTGTGGTGTGACATGCAGCCGTGACAGCCGTGGCTTTCAAGAATTTGGGGTACAGTTCCCCCCAAACACCTGCACCGATATTCTTGAAACTTGGCTGGTTTCATAGTGTTAGCAGAGGCTACCATCCCTGCAAGTTTCATCCAAATCGGACAAGAAGCAAAGTTATAGATATTTAATTGATTCCCCATTATACCCTGGGGCCGGATCTCCGAGGCGGCTCTGAAGCTTCAGAGCCGCTTTGGCCGGATTGAGGCAGAAACCCGGTCTGGATCTCCGGATTGGATTGTTGTCATCCGAAGCGGCTGGATATGAAGCTGGATCGGATCGCTGCTGACTCGCACAGGCCTAGTGTTTATTCCCCCACTCCCACTGAGGGACTGTAGTTGAGGTCTACCTTGCCCGGGTGTAGCAGCCCATCAGGCATTTGTCCCTCTCCCCACTCCAGCAGCAGGGGAGGGGACATGGCCAGAACTGACTGCCATGGCACCAGCATTCACCTACCTTGCCACAGCTGCAGTGCTGGGGCTGTGGGCTGAGTTGGGCCAGTCTGCGGGTGCTGCTGAAGGTGGACACACAGGGGCCGGCCCAGGTTATGGGGCTCGGGCAGCAGTTGACTAAGCAGTGGACTGCCCAGGCTGGCTCAGAGATGCCAGCAGGCCCAAAGCCTAGCAGCCACCCACCACAGGGGCTTACAGCCCCTGCCGCACACCCTGTTCTGAGTAGTGCTTGTCGGCTGCAGCCACACCACAGGCTGTGCACTGCCCAGGGCCAGTGGGGCTCTTCTGCTTCCCTCGCCTCCAGCTGCTGCCACTGATGCCACATGGCTCTGGGTGGGCAGATGGAAGTTTAGCCCTGTGGCTTCTGCCTAGTGCACAGAGCTCTGGTTCCAGCTCCAGCTGCTTTCCACCTGCTCCCCACTCCCCACTCCCACCACAGGGACTGCTTATCTTCCCAAGTGGGCAGAAGGCAGGTAGAGCTGGAGCCAGAGCTCCAGGCACTGGGCAGAAACCACTGGTCTAAAGCTTCCATCTGAATAGTCAGAAGAGAATATGTCTGAAGCTGTGCCATGAACAACCTCCCCTCCCAGAGGACCTTCTTGCTGCTGACTGGCAGTTTATTATAGATTATATGCTGTTACTCCATACTAAATGTTGTTATTTCCCCAGGTTGTCAGTATGCATGATGCTTCACAGGCAAATAAGAGGACTTCTAGGAGAATTTAACAACCTAAGATTAAAGAAAGCATAACAAATAGCATCAGGACACCTGGATTATAATAAAAATATGTTCTTGCTTAGGATGTCATTTATGCATTTTGATACCTTGCTTTATTGTATGATTTAGCGTAGTTGTGATGAAATAGGAATAGGAAATTTGAGAACAATCTAAAAAAAGTATCTTTTCCAATTTTTATACAGACACTAAAAGTAGAGTAGTGCAGCAGTATGTGAAACACTATTAGCAATATATGAAACACTATTATTCTCACCTACAAGTAAATTCCTAACCTCATGGAAGTCTGTGTGGACTTCAGTATTGTCTTCAGTGGGGCTAGGATTGCTTACCACTTGAGCATGCTTGATTTGCTATTAGGAAGAATTTTGCTTTTACTTGATCACAGAAATAATATTTTTGTGAAAAAAGCTGAGATAAACACATAAATAACTCACATGAATATTTATTCTCTTAACTTTAGGGGGAATGGATTGCATCAGGCTTGGTGAGACAATTATGGAGTATTCCAGTGATTTCAGATTCTTTATTACTACAAAACTAAGAAATCCACATTATTTGCCTGAACTAGCTACAAAAGTTTCTCTACTCAACTTTATGATAACTCCAGAGGGACTTGAAGACCAGTTGCTTGGTATTGTTGTTGCAAAGGAAAGGTGAGTGTTTGTTTATTGAAAACAACCAAATTAAATACTTTAAACTAGCAGCTTTAGAAACAAATAAAAGATATGTTTATATCAAAAACAAAATTGTTCTTTGTTCTAAGTGGCCCTTAATAAGAGAATCTTGGGGCCCTGCTACATGTTCAAATTAAAGCTAGATAGAAACCAGATATAGAATTGTTACACATTTTTCAAGCACTAACTTTTGTAGCTGGTTGGCTCTTTTTATAGCTCTTTCCATTTTTATGGCATGTGGTTGGTCTAAATTGCACAATTTACTAGTTAATTGTGTGATAATTACTTTGCACTTGTGGCTGGTCTTACTTTGCATGTGTAGTCAGTTTAAATTTATTGTGCAGTTAACCGGTTAATTGCATTATATATGTAATATATGTAATGGTTTTTCAGTTGTCTTATCTAAGATGTTTGCAAGGGCCATCAGTATTTTTCAGATTCAGATGAGATTTGGAAGACTATACTGATATTTAACTTTACCGCTGCACAACCATAATTATTGTTTTCTTATCTAGTCCATAACTTTGCACATGTAAACATGGATATTGGATTTTTAAATTATTTTGTTATTTTTAAATTATTGATGGTAACTCTGAAAATCTTTCTAGTTCTTATTTGTTGTGACATAGAAACAGATTTAATTGGATTTTCTGATGGTCCTGTCTTTTACAGATTGCCTGGTTAAACATGTTAGAGTCCACTTGTTAAAAATCTGACTACATTTAATGAACATTCCATATGATAAACACAGGCAGTACAATACTTGTGCAAATATTTACTCAGAAGCAAGAGTTATAGTACAAGAAAATCAATTTTAGCTGACATTTCCAGAAGTCTGAGTATAAAGTTTTAGACCATAAAACTAAAGCATAGAGTTTAAATTGTTACATGTTTAGGCATCCAAATAGATGATAAGCACTTAGAGCCGTAAAGGATTTAGAGGACAAATTCTGTTATGATTACATAACTTTATTGAAGTTAGTAGAAATATACTAAATATAAGAAACAAATTTACCCCAAATGTCTAGCTTTGGCCTTAATATCTTGCTAAAATAGAGTGAATAATGAGAATTAGCTGTAATATAATTTAAGTGACTTTCTCTAAATGGAAAAAAGTGAATGGAATACTATACAAAATCTCCAAAAGCAATTTCTGTAGCACTAATATAACACGATTAATGAGCTCTAATCTTGGCAAATATTAATTTTACAAACATAGGTTAACTGTATACAGGTATCAAAATGTGTAATACATAGTGTATTAACTTGGGTGTATGTTTTGTTTTATTAGACCAGAATTAGAAGAGGAAAGGAATGCTCTCATCCTTCAGTCTGCAGCCAATAATAAACAGCTAAAAGAAACTGAGAAAAAAATTTTAGAGACTTTACAAGTATCAGAAGGGAATATACTAGAAGATGAGACTGCAATTATGGTCTTAGACTCTGCTAAAATAATGTCTAATGAAATCACTAAGAAGCAACAAGTAAGTGAAGTTAAACTTTGCTTTAAAATTAATAGAGTGCTCCCAAAATTAATTGGATAATGTGCTGTGTAAAAACCTAAAGCTTTGCTTCCTAGCAGGAAGACTATGAATTAGAAGTGAAATAAAGAAAACACTGCATGTGAAATGGTAAGATCAATTCATAAGACAAAACTATGAATCAATCCTGAAGTTCTTTCTCATGGCTTAATCAGTCAAGGCAAATAACTTCAAAAGGAGTTCTGCCTGAATAAGGATGGAGTAAAAAGTAATGACTTCAGAATTGGGCTCTATATTAAGATAAAGTAAGAATCTAAGTGTTAAACTAATAGAAGACAACATTTTAAAGGAGACAGTAATTACCAAGGCAACTGGATAGGAAACTTCAAGCCAGAAACTTCTAAGTTCTAATACTGCAACTGCCTCAAACTCATCTCGTTGGTCACAGGTGAATCACGGCAGTCTGTATGTTAATTTTCCAATAAGTAAAATGAAAATAATGATTCCACGGGATGTAGTAGAGGAGGCTGTGCACATTGAGAATAACTATATATGCTAATTATAGCAGGTTATGTTGTTCCCCAGTTTTGGAGAAACCTTTTGGGAAGAAGAGACTCCTTGAGGTGCTATTTTTGAATTTTCTCTGAAATATCCTATTTGTGGAGAATCGTGCCCTGCAGTGAAAATAGCAGAGGGTTATCTCTAAACCTGAATATTGCCCAGCACAGAAGGGGACAAGTCCATGCTTTCTCTCTTGCCTCTGCTTTTGGACATCACTTCACAGGGGTTCCACTGTGATGATAATCAGCACTACTTTATACAGGCATTTTGCCCTTCGGGAAAGGGGCCAAGGCATTTGCCACCTATAATAGTAATCTTTTCCCAGCCCCAGTCCTCCTGCCTCAACCCATTCCTTCTTCTCAACTGTTGAGCCAAATTCCCACACAAAATGCACACATCTAGGTTATGGATATAAAAATAACTGGGAGGGGGGTGCACTGTTTTCTCCACACTCATCTTCAAAGCCCTTGGTTTAGAGCATGTCAGCACAGGGATGTGGACTGGCAGAACTAACACCTGCTGTTATCTAGCACTTCATTTATTAGTATCTAGCTATTTTAAAGCTACAATATATACCTAATACTAAGAAACAAATAACTCTCAACTTTTATATTAAATGTATTCTTGTTTCTTTGTTTTCATATGATATATTTATAAAAAGTGACTGTATTGTAGAATACAGTCTGCTAGAATGATTGTTTTAAAATTTGAAATCCAGGCATATTTAAAGACATAATTGTTGAGTTTGATGGATCTTATGCCAAGTGACTTGGTGGAACTATCTTGACGAGTTTTGTCTTGGCCTTTCTGTCTTTGGCTCCACTTCGCTCCATGTAGTCTGTCACTGAAGTCAAGTTGCCCTTGTATGACCCACCTAAGGCTCCAGGACTGAGGCATTAGATGACAAGCATATCTGAGCATGGAAAATGTATTGTACAGTGCACAATAAGTGCATGTTAATAATGGGTGTGTAGTAATAACTATTTCTGTACAAAGGGAAATATTAAAAGTTTTTGTTTTTGTTTTTTTTTTACTTGTGTCATTTTTGTTTTAGGTTGCAGAGAAAACAGAAATTAAATTAGCAGAATCTCGAGAAGGCTATAGACCCATTGCAAAGCATTCATCAGTGCTCTTCTTCAGTATTGCAGACCTGGCTAACATTGATCCCATGTACCAGTACTCTCTCAGTTGGTTTGTTAACCTCTTTATCAACTCAATTCATGACAGGTAAATAAAATATTTCTGGGCAAAATCCCATATATTCCTTTCTCTTCTCACCAACAGGATTTAAACTGGGTTTTCTTCTTCTTTGTATCGAAACATTTTCAGAAACATCTTCAAATTTTGGTGGTATGATTTTTTTCTACAAGTGGCTGCAGGTATATTTTTGTACAAGTAATTTAGTAAATGCAGGCTGCATTACAGGCATGAAAAACAAAACAAAACAAAACAAAACAGTGCTTTACTTTCAGCTTAGTGTGCCCCTACCCCTGCACCAAGCATCCCAGATGGTTCCCTTTGTAATCATGTTTTTCAAAAAATAACACTCCTTATAGATATCTGTTGCAGTGTGCCTTGGAAGAGTCCAAGTCTGGTGTTGAATTAAAACTATGATGGAGTGGTAAGAGTTCTGGTACCCAAGTATGATACTGATTTCAGTAAATCATTTTGGCTGGGCTTTCAGAAAAGACTTAGGGAGCTGGATGCCTAACTCATTTGGATGTAATTGAATTCAGTGAGAGCTAGGTGCATAGTTTCCTTAAGGACAATTTCAGCCCTAGTCTATATCCTACCAAACCTTTTCAAAATTATTTTATTTTATTTGCTTCATTGATTCAATGTAAACACTCGTGTTCTCTTTCACTTTCTTTTCTTTTAGTAACAAATCAAAAATTTTGGAGAAGCGCCTTCGTTACCTGAATGATCACTTCACATACAACTTGTATTGTAATGTGTGTCGCTCTTTGTTTGAGAAGGACAAGCTGCTGTTTTCCTTTTTACTGTGCTGTAACCTTCTCATGTAAGATTCATATTTTTTGGAATTTCTTCATAATACAAAACAATCATTTCTCTTCTACTGAAATAATGTGCAAATGGTGGAATACTTGTGCATGTGTTTCGATGATTATCTCTTTAAAGCCTCATCATGAAGTGAATGCTTTTGCTTCCCCCAAATATTTTATTAACTTCCTCCTATTGGGTCTTTATTGCCCTTTGCAAAGAGGTGGGATGATGCTGTGTAACAGGGTTGCAGTTATTTTCTTTAAATAACAATTGCCATTATTTAAAAAATATTTCAGGTTAAAATTCTCCAAGGCAGTGGTTTCTCTTTTCAACAGCTTTGCTTGGCATATATCACAATTCCTTTCTTGTAAAACTTTTCTTCTTCACCTCCCCTTTCTTTTCACTTTTGTGTCTTTGCCCATTTCTCAGCGACAAAGATGACAAAGTGCTGCTGATCCTACCACACAATGTGTGTTTTGTGTGTGTGTGTGTGTGTGTGTGTGTGTGTGTGGTGGCTGGCAGAGGAAAGAGAAGCATAAATTATCTATTGCAGGGATTGTCAACCAGGGGTACATGTACCCTCAGGGGTACTTAGAAAGGTTGTAGGGGGTACGTGTGTGTGTGAGCGGGGACAGAGCGCAGGGATGGAGTGTGACCCAGGTGGGGTGCAGCAGCAGGGTCTCCCCTAGCACATTCTCGTGCTTTGCCTCTTACCTGGGAGAGGGGAAGGGATCCACCAGATGCTGCTAGCCCCATGCTACACACCATGGCACCTCCCTGCCTCCCACCCCAGCTCACACCAGATGCCACTAGCCCCATGCTACACACCATGGCACCTCCCTGCCTCCCACCCCAGCTCACTCTCCTGATTGTCTGAGAGGCAGTCAGCCTGAGAGCAGCAGTCTGCCCTCCTCCCCCACAATCCATACAGCGAGCCCCAGCCCCCTGCACTGTGGGTGCAGAGCTTCTTTGTGAGGGGGGCAGCTAGGGAGAGGGGCTGGGCTGCAGTGCTGTGTGGGCCCAGGGCCAGCCAGGAGAGGGTGCAGCTGTGGGAAACAGCAGCTGCACTGGGCACTCTGCTGTTACCCCCTCCCCTTATTAAAAACAAGCATTTCACATGGGAGGTGGGGGTCGGGCCCAGTATATCTGGCAGCTCCAAGCCCGGCAGGAAGCCAAGATGTGCGTTAACCCATGAGGGGCTGTCCCCACCAGTGCAGCTCTCTGCCAGCCCGGGCAGGCCCCATGGCATTGGTCCCAGGGAGTGGGCAGGCAGCGGCAAAGGCTCAGTTCCTTAGCAG